CCACAAAACTGAAACCAAAACCAAAATTAAAACCAACCAAGATAAAATTCACCTCCACAACATTCAAAATATAAGACAACTCAAAATTTAATCACAAACATCACAAAATAATAATTGCAACTAAGTTAGGACGTCTCTATAAGATGATCGGGACTCCCTTGGAGGAGATAACCTACCGTTGCTAACGAGATTTTCTAACATTTGAGTTTATTAGTTATATGTATTTTGCATTTAACACTTGCATTTAGACATGTGTCTAAAGACATGTTTATTTGCCTTGGATTAGATTCTTAACATGATTTATTTGATTTCAACTTTATGTGCTACAATTGTTTTTGGATTTTATAAATTTACCCTATACTTCCCTTTTTTAGTAGACTAGCTGACTTGTGACAATTGGTTAGTCTATTCATAAGGAAGCACATATTTAAAGGTGATTTAAATAATATTTTTAGATAGTTTATGATAGATTCTTCTAGGCTTATGTGGCATTGCATGACACAAAACTCTTTAAAAAAACTTCTAGATGCTACTTATATTCTTCCATATTTGCAATAATTACATGTTTGTCATCATTTAGATTTGATATATGGACTTAAATTGATGGTTTGATTATTTTCTTTATGTCTAAATTTTCTAAGAACTTTGTCATTCTAATTTAATTGGATTTATCCTTAGAATTGTCATGTAATTTTGATTTATGTTTTTCTTTTCTCTCAACTATGCTTTTTAACTATTAATCTTTCAAGAATGTTCATATTTTTTTGGTCGTACTACTCACTCTTTTAGTTATACTATTTGCACTATAAAATAAATATAGATATGATCATGCTCTTTTGGTTAAGTCCTTCCCTAATATAATCATCCTCTTACGAATATAATTTTCACCCAAATTTGATTATACTCCTTTGATAGGATAAGCTTTGATTTAATCATGTTGTTTTGATCATGTCTGTTGTTAGTTCGGCCGTACACCTTTGACCACTTAACGGATGGTCACAACAAACGTGTCAGATGAAGAGAAACTCACATTTTCTATGAAAAGGAAAATTTTCTTGCTCCCCTCTTAAATACTCAAACTAATTTTATCAAGCTACTACAAGAGAACTCATATGGACTCCTTCATTGAAGTTAACAATGCCTTTAGTTTGACAATTTTATCGTACAAGCAATCTAATGAAAAAGGTGGCATTAGCAAAAACTTGGGCATCATTAGAAAAATACTGAAATTTTCTTGAATTTGTTATTGATAGAGATAAAGAGAGGTGAGAGGCAACTCACGCTCTTTCCTTATCATTGAGGCAAAATCACTAATGACCTAAACAATTTAATTTTTTGCATTGCCTTCAAGTCGCCTCACTAAAGTTAATGCTACCATGTTAATGGGAATATCTTAAAGAGGAAACTCCTTAAATAACTATCAAAAGGGCATCTTGATGAGTTGCTACCATAAATATTTTACCTATGGACAAGAGACAGAGACCAAAATTATGGAATTTAAGTCCTATGACTTTGTCGCTCCACAATACAAAAGCCTACTTAAAATTAAATGTATAGTAGGCTCAATCATAACAATCAAAATGGAGTTCAGTGAGGCCACCCCTTCTAATAAAAAAGACTAAGTAGCCTCATGTTCCACTACGACTCGTTGTTTGCTTTTTTTTACTAAAAGATTCACATCGTCCATTAGACTTGTTGTAAGAAAAATAAAAAAAAGAAGTTTTCATTAATTTAATCATTTTTTTTATCACAAATTATTATTTATTTTATGTCAAATACAACTACATTAGCCAAACCCAACAATTCATTGACCTGATTCATCCTTAAAGCACTCAACTCAGGACAATTCAAAAATATTGTGTCAAGTAGCAGCTAGTCAAAGCCCTTGTCTTCCCTACTCAGACCTCCTTTTTATTAACCTCTTTGCCCTCTTCTCAATAGGACAAGTTGACTTGTGTTGAACTTCCTTTGAAGGAGGTGCTGACACTTGATTTATCAGTGTAACTTATAGTTGGTTATGTTCACGATATCTGGAGGAGAGAACACAAACATTAATATTAAGTAGAAAATATGAAAAAAAATCTAAAATAATAGTGGAAGAGAAAGACACAATGAAGCTAGGAACTCTGCTTATAGTTTTAAAGATCAAAATTCTTAACATATAGAAATTTCACATAAAAATAATTATTGAAAAAAAAAACGAGTAATTTTTCCAATGCAAAAATAGCACTTGATAGTGAAAATAAATTATTTTCTCTTTTACTAATAAAAAATATAATAAATGCCTCATCTGATTCTCTTGAAGTATTTGTGAGTGACTCTCCAAAGATGTAAGTGAATTAGAAAACTAAGTTTATGTGAAAGCTATGCAATTAAGGATAATAATGTGTAATAAATCACCTGAATCAAGGAATTATCAATTTGGTTCAATGGGGAATGAAAGGACTACAAACGATGATTTTCTAGGTTGCATGCAATTCCCCAATTTTGGAGAACTCATTCATTTATTGAAAAAAAAAATAGCTGAAAAAATACTCTTCTCATCTTAGAAAGTGTCTGCCCTAACTTAAATACCACTGCCCCATTCTTAGAATGACTTGCATATTCCCAAGGAGGACTCGCCTATTCTATAAAGGAAATTCAATGATTCCCTACATTCTACCAAGCTATCTCGCTCAATCAGTTTACAACTTTATCCACTTGGACCCAAAAGCCTCTAAGGCATCCATCAACATAGCTATACAAGGGTACTTTATAGGGTATTAACTACTATTCCCACATATTTGTAACACTCTATATATGCATTTATTCATTCATTATGCATAGCGTTCTCTAGTGTAAACAATCCTATGAATAATGGGTTAAAAGGGGGCATCCATGAATAAGTTAATTACAGTACTTTGCCATTTAATATAAGGTGAATTAAATTTTCTTGAGTATTACTTCTTGCACTTGATCGCTTTTTCTGTTTTTATGAGCTCTTTTACCCTTAGTCTCATTGATAGCACAAAAGTTCAAATATCACAAGGAGCATATTTGTATCCAACTCACTCGATCAGGCTTTGCTCAAACATTGCCCTAAGTGTATCAAATATCCTAATAGTTAGGGCTGCTTCATACTAAATATTATTATAGGTCTAGCAGTTCCATTACTCATAGTTATTGGTCTTGGTATCCATGGTTTTGTTGTCATTGAAAACAATGTTGTGTTCACCTCAGCCTTGCAAGAAATTCTTGTCCCTTTCATCCTAATCACTCCTCCAACATTGTGTTAATGTTTTCCTTTTTTACTTAGGCCACATTCATGCCTATCATGCTTCTACTTGCAATCTATTTGGCCAGGCTCACATTTATAATCCTTCTTCTACTTGTTTTCGTGATCCAATTCCACCATTGATTCCAACAATCATCGCAATCAAGTGGCCTTCAATCCAAGATCAAGTGACACATAAAAGGAGAGATGGCCAAAGAAATTTCTTGAGGATGTTTGTTAACACTTCCTTTGGTTAAGGAGGGCCTTACAAATTTTTCTTAATTCACTTGCCTAGCACGTCAAACCTAAATATGTACATCATCACATCCAAAATTGTGTATGTACTAACATAATGCCTACAATTCTTGTATTAGCTCTTTTAAGAGAATTCTTGAGGGTTTTTTTTTAATCATTAATCTGAACACTTAAGTTGTCGGGGAATTATTTTAAATTTCATTTTTCTTAAATGTTAAAATGCTCTTCAAAGAGAACTGAAGCCTGAAGGCTCCTTTAGTTTGAATCATTTGAAAGACATAAAAGATATGAAATAAATTTAAAATTAAAAAAAAATTGAAATTAATTTTTGCTCAACTTGGTTTGATCTTAAAAGATTTTAGCATAAAAAAATATACTTATATAAATGAGACATTCGAGTTATTCGAAGTGTTGTGGCGAGAAACGAAAAGTGAGTAATAGTGGTTGAGTGATTGCTATTTTTTTTTTCAAGTTTGTAAAGAGAAAAAGAGAGGCATTTACATAGATGCCGTAAAAAAAGAAAAACAACCCCGTACTACAACCATTATAGTCTATGTTCATACACATGCAGAGATACATGCGCTGTCTAATTTTGGCCGTCAATCATAACAAAACTGTATTTCGGTGGGCCTTATTTAAAAAAAGATAAATAAAAAAACTGTGATCGACATTCGAAATCGAACAGTGCATACATCTCTGCATGCGTTGTCCGTATGGAATAATTTCTCATGTTCATAATAATGATATCACAACAATTCTCCGAACTCCCGCTTATAATTTGGCACCTTAAGTCCTCTGCTGCGGCTGGAAATTATATTCCTGATGAGGCAGCATGCATGGTCATTTGTCTCCACTTCTATGCCTCATTGTAGCTTTCATGAAAACAAGTTAGGAGGACCATGTTTTGCCAGAACAGATTATTCAACTCGAAATAAAATATATATATATAAACAAAATGTAGGGCCATTAAAAATACTCGCCAAAGAGCCTGTGCTCTAAAAGTCAGGCAAGCCAAATACAGGTAGAAGTTTTAAGTCTAAATTATAATTGAGCAGCAGGTAATCCTTTATTTGATTGTATTCAACTCGTGTTAGCTCGAAATAAATTATATATATGCATATGAGTTTAATGCGGTCATGTGGTTCAACGTCTTTTATTGCATGGTATAATACATTTATTTATTTAATTAATTTAAACTAGCAAATTTGAGCTGAAAATGACCCATTATGAATGAGCCGAGCATTAACATATGTTCAACTCGCTCAAACTCGGCTCGTTTATAACCCTCACAAGGAGGGATCATTGAAGCTGACTTGGCTTGGTAAGGCCTGCCAAAAGAGCAATCGCTGATCGGTACCTATGATCCGATTATTATTTTAGGATACTAATTCGTATGCTTTAACAAATCCAAGTTAAATACAGCCACAGAAAAAGGCCAACATTGATATATACATCACATTACCGACGAAAATCTAATAAAGGTGACTAGAAGTTTTCAAAAGAGAGCAATGCATAAACTGTTTCAATACTCAAATTATTAGAAAACATTACCAGATACACAGTAGATATGTTTATGGGTAAGGCTAACTATACATATATCCCTACATAATAATAAAATTGCAATCTCACTGATTTAGTGATAGCCGACAGGAGCCGGAGTCTGCTTCAAGTCCATACCCTGATATTGAACGTCCTGCAATCCACAGAGATTTAATTACATCCATTGATGAACAATATAAAAGTTCTCCCAAAAATTAGGCTTTGATTTGCTAACAGGAGTAGTGGCTTTAAATCGCTGTTTTTGGCTGCAACATAATTTTTCCTTAAATATAGCTTATCAGATCGACACTTATCGGTGGAATAAACACGACTAGCAATTGAGTTTATTAAATTGATTTTGACAGAATGTGAGAAAAGAAAAATGAAATGCGAGAAAATTAGACTTAATAGAGCAGTTAGATTGTTTTATTTCCGCTTCGATTGAAAGGAAAATTTTATAAGATGGTGGTGAGACCTGCAATGCTCTGTAATGCTAAATGTTGGCCTTTAAAAGAGAAGCATAATACTAAGTTAAGTGTTGCAGAGATGAGAATGATTAGGTGGATGAGTGGCTTTACACTTAGAGACAAAATGCGATATGAATGTCTCCGTGCTATGGTTCATGTAGCTCCAATGACTGACGGACAAAATTAGAGAGAGTAGTCTTCGATGGTTTGGTCACATTAAACGACGATCATCTGATCCCATTACGAGCAGATGTTTTAGATTCAACTTATGTTAAGAAAGTCAAATGTAGACCTTGGAAGACTTGGGCTTATTGTATAAAAAAATAATCTTAACTAATTAGAACTAAATAAAAATATGACACTAAATAGGATGCAATGGAGACAAAGGATTCATGTGGCTGACCACACAGTGTGATTAAGGTTTTGTTGTTGTTGCTGCTGCTGTTGGCTCGATTGAAATTAAATTTATGATTAAATTCTATAAAAAATATGATATCAAATACACTCTTAAGAGGGGAAAAATAAATAAATAAATAAAAAGAGTAAAGATGCATGATAATGTGATGAAAGAGTGCAATATTTGCTAGTACGACGAGGAGCTAACCATTAAACCGAGAGAAAGGAAAATATGATGCCCCATAACCATACCGAAGCAAAATGATTGACGTCACGGTGATGAGCCTCGTCGGCGCGAACAACCATGATGACGTCTCGCAGCGTTGCATCCGGTGGCAGGCGCCAGTAATCCTTGGCGATCTCTGGGGCCGGCACGTTCTTAATGTTTCCATTGTCCAGATCCTTGAGAAACTCGGTGTAGGAGTGTATGGCCTCCTCCTCAAGATAGCCAACAATGCGGTGAGCGAACTTGGGCGATATAAGGTAGCCCACGAAGTAAGCATTGAAGAAAATCCCCTGAACTGCAATCACAAGTGCTCGCTCATACCACCGTGGCTGCGTGACTTCCATGAAGGTCATGAGATGCATTCGTTCATTCTCAGCTTCCTCGAGCAGTGCCCGAACCCACCCGCCGCTGTGCTCGAAGCGGCGAAGAGAACGAAGGTGGAGGAGCATTCCGCCGACCATTCCTGGGACTGCTGCAACAGTTTCCAGCATCATCGCCCGGCAACCATATCTCCTCTGCGATCACGAAAAGTAAGATCGTAGATCGCCATATATTGTCTCGAAAATCATTAATATGAGATCGGAGTTTTTACCTGGAAGAATATGTCGGTGGGAACTCGGAGAAGCTTCACTGTCCAGTAAGCAATTTTGTCCAAAAACACCTTCGGAGCGTGATGCTTCTCAAGATCGATCGTCGTGTCAGACATATATGCATCCCAAGGCTATTTCCACAGAAAAATTTCACCAGTGTAATGATCGATTAGTTAAAACTGATCGGTAGAACAAGAAACAGGCTACGGATTCGACTTACCCTAAAGCAGGACCATCGCCACTCGGATCCATCCTCCTTGAACAGCTTTCGAGGCGCCACGCCCCAATAGCTCGTCATCTGATTCGAACCAGAAGGGTTGGCTTGCCCCTTCGGTGATCTATCGTCCTCCCCACCGATTGGTTCTGGGAGTGCGGATGTACTCGCCATCCGCACCTGTAAAAGCCTAACAATGGCTGTCGGCGCAGCGGAGGAGGTTCCCGATCCGAACAGAAAAGAATTGAGCGGAGCCCCCACTCTGTCCGCCGACGGAGAAGTTGAGAAGCTGCGCAGCCCTAGTTGCCGCACCAGTGTCACCGATCTGCGCACCTGAGAGGACATCATCGTTAAGTCTTGGGGTTCAAGAGGACGGACCCAAGAAATCTGGAGAGCCTTTCTTTTTTTGGGGATAGTTACATCCCGAGACCACGAAACATTGCTATTTACAATTCAACCCCGTGATTTTTTTATAAAATGGATGTATTTACGCGTGCCTCCATCTGACCACTTTGAATTTTATAAATATGAGAAATAAAGATTGTGATTTTATCATAGCCTTCAATATTTTAGTGTGAATTTGATAAATGAGTGAAAGAAGTTGCTACTTGATTTGTAATTAGGGCTGTCAAAACGGTTCGTTGCTCGCAAATTCAAAAAGGCTCGTTGCTCACGAACAGCTCGTGTTCGGCTCATTCACTAAGTTAACGAGTAGAACACGAACAAATATTTGTTCGTTCGTGTTTGACTCATTTTGGCTCGGAATACTACTAATCAATTATATATGTATCTTTGATGAGTAATCTTTTTTAAAAAATTTAATTGACTACAAGGTTACAAAGATTTATAATCAATTAAAAGTTAATAAAGAAAATATAATAAAATTTATGAAATTAGATTCAAATTATGTTTTAAATCTTGCCCCAATCATTAACATCTGATGGCTATGTGCTTAGGGTTATCAAAATGACTCTTTGTTCGTGAACGGCTCGTGTTCAGTTCGCTAAGCAAACGAGCCGAACACGAACACACTTTCTGAGCACGAGCCGAACACGAGCTAAGTCTGGGCTCGCTCGTGGTCGACTCGTTTACACCCATATTTGTAATCAGCAATTTGGGTGTCCTTATGTAAGCTTCCCTTTTTTGTTGTTTTTTTTTTTTTTCTTTTTTTCCTTTGGCCGGGGTTTTGAGGTTGAGGTTTCTTTCGCGTTTTACTACAAAAGCTCGAAAGATTTTGGATATTTAACTAAACACTAAATTGCTTTAAAGAAAAAGCTATATATTTTATTTTATTTTTTTTAAATTTAATAAATATATTTATAACATTTTAATGGCATAAATTTTACTTAAAGAATTATATTTTATTTTTAAGAATAAATCAATGGTGAAGTTTTTATAAGCTATTAAAATTATAATTTTTATCTATATAAATATAAAATTTAGATAACTAATTTGTAAATACCTAAAAACTAAGTGATATGTGTGTAAAGATTTTTATTCCCGCCAATCATGTTTTGGGCTTTTGGCTGCGGGAATAAGCGCACCGCCGGCACAAGAACCTAATGAGTTCCATGTCACGTGAATTTGACACGTTCGTGATTTTTATTGGTTTAAACTTTTTATTCCGTATTTTTTTTTTCAAAAACATCGGGAAGCTTCCAATGGCTGTGTGAAACATCTGGGTCTAAATTAATCAAATAAACATACTTAAAAGTCTAATTTTTTTTTTTGGGATTTTTACCTTGATAGCACTCAAAATATGAGAAATTTCTTATATCACTCCTCAACTATCATATTTATGTATAAACCACCTTAAAGCTCTTTCTGCAACCCCTCCCTCTGACGGAAAATATTTATTGACGTCGTATGTATGCAGAATTGTGTGCGTATGATGGTTATTCGAGGGATACTAGAGGGTTATGTGGCTGTTATTGGGGTTAATACCCTCAATAACCTCACAAATCCTTCAAATGACAAAAAAAAAAAAAATTGTGACGAACCACAGAATGTATTGATAGGTTATTGTGAGGTCGAGAGATTATTAGGGGTACTACCAACAATAACTGAGTTATTGAAAGGTTATTTGATGTCATACTCATGCAGAATTGTGTGCATAAGACGCACGCAAATAACACTCTTCGGCGGCGAGACAAAGGCATGGCGTAACACCGGCGGGCATAGATATGACACAACACAGAATCCCTTTCCAAGGCTAGCAAAGCAACTTTACAACATTGACACGAAGGCGAGAACAATGACACGATACAAAATAAAAGAACTAAGGAACCTTTACGGTGAGTTCCCGCCTTTGTTTCGCTGTCATTTTTGCAAAACAATTTTGAGAGATGTTTGAGGGACTTAACCAAACCAAAGCTTTTCCAAATATTCGTGTTCATTACAAAGGCACTGCACTTCACTGACTTCTCAAATAAAACCTAATTATCCCAACAACTCAAATTAATCAGCAACACATTGGCCGACCCAATTAAAATAGTTAAGTATTGAATTACAAGTAGTTCTATTTCACCCCTATAATGCGTCTTCCAGTATATCATTAAGGAAAAAATTATAAAAGGGAAGAAAGAAATGCTCACTAAAATGAAATACAACATAGATTGCATCACAACCACATAATGAAAAGCATATAGCATCCATATTTATGTTCTTTTTTCACATTTAGTTGTGTTGAATCAAGGGAAGTAATGATACATCATAATCTTAATCGGTAAAACCAACATATTAGGTCCTACCATATATTCTACCATATACGGCAAGAACTAAAATAATTATGCACATAAAATTCCCGAAAAGTATAATATAGGACTTTAGACTTCTATAACTCATAAGAAACTTTGAACATCTCTACAATATTCCAAAAGAAGAATGAAAGATAGGACCGCACGAATAACGGATCACACAAAGAGGATACCAAAGGACTGCATTATCATAGTTGAAAGACATGGCCGCGAAGCATAATTTCAGTCGATTGAATCACGGGAAGGCCAAAAAAAGATTATATCTGAGTTAAGAAACAATGTATATTGGAACTAAGGGACAACTGCACAAAATCGACTCACTCAACCGATTTTGGGTCATTTGTAGAGAAAATCGACGATAGCTTGATAGAAGTATTTTTCGACTCACCACGAAGACCTTTTATCAAAAGGAAAACTAACCATGAGATTATGGTGACACGTCCTCTGCCTGATGAAATAAATTCTTCCTAAGGATAAGTGGGTCTCTACGAAGGGTTCCCTCAGGAAAGCTGACCGAAGATCTCTCGACAGACTGAAGGACTTTCAGCCTACCGAATGACGATCTAACAACCAAGTTGTACATTTACGAATATAAAACATTGTCAATAGCGGTTACGAATACAAAATAGTGCCAACAACAATTACTAAGGAAAAAAGATACGAGAGACAGTTACAAATATATAAATTCGTAATGTTTCATTAGTCACTGGTAATGTTCTTATTTAATCAGTGACAAAGTTGTAGATTACAAGACCTCCCCTATAACCTTTAAATAGGGGATCATTTCTTCGAGAAAGACAATTGAATTTCTTACTAAAATACTAATACTCTTGTGTGCTCATGCACATTTTTTCATCTATTCCTCTCAACCATTCAACGCTCTATTACTTGGGTGTGACACGCAAAATATTTTGGGATTCAATATCCTAAAGATGCTGTGAGTATTGAGTCATGTATTTAACAAGAGAATGAGTGTGTCACAGAGAAGTAACCCACTTAGGGGAAAATTCTAATATGGTCAAAATGGCACATTAAGGTTTAAAGTTATTTTTATAGTTTGGTAGGATTAGGGAGACCTTTGGTGAGACTAGAGATCAATTTAGATAGACCCCTCTCACAATGTGGATTTCATGGCCAAGGTGAGGTGGTTTCTAGGGTCCATAAGTAAGCCCCTACGGTTTTGATTTGATTTGGGTGACCTGGGGCATGTCTTGCCATAGAGGTCAATTAGGGTTCCACACCTGGTCAAAACCTTAAGCCATCCCAACCAAGGGTTGGGGCTTGGGCTTGCCTTGATGAAGCCCAAGAAAGCACAACTCCTATTTAAGTTCATGTGCAAATAGGTGGGGTGAGTCATCAGAGAAGTAAGGTCAACATGTGGTTAAATCAAAAAAATTGTATGATATGAGCTTTAATAAATACTATCAAATCTTACAAATTTTTTTGATCTTCCATCAAGCTTTAAGTCTATTATTAAAAAAATCAGTTAAATTCATGATAAAAATTAATTATAAATCTCAATAAATTGAGCATATATTAATTCATAAGTAATAATTTACTAAAAAATTAATTATTAATAAAAAATCATTAAATTTTTTTTATTAAAACATAATCTTACATTTATAAATTAATAATTAAGTAATGACTAATTATAGTTATCAATAAATACTTATAAATTTATGGTAATTTCTAAATAAAAAGCAATAACAATTTTATAAAACATTTACATCTTTTTCAAATTTTACTATATATATATATATATATATATATAAAATCTAATTAAAATAAATCTAATAATGTATTAATTAATTATTAATTGATTAGTTAGTACAGCTAACTTAAATAAAATTAAACTAATAACCTTATTACCCTAGTTTTTCCTCTCCCGCGCTGAATCCCCGGCCCATCTTCTCCCGCGCTCATATTCTCTGCCCGGAAGCCGTCGCCTCCCTCCTCCTCTTCCAATTTTTATCCAAGACTATTACCCCATCTTCTCCCTCGCATACAATCGCATTATGGGCTAGTTGAGATGGCAACGAAAGATCGCAGCATACAGAGACCACCAGAATACATCAAATGTAACTTTCTAATTTGGTTTTAAAATTTGTAGTTTTCCTTCATATTCTCAGTCCCGATTTTTTTTGAGTAGTTTAAACTTATTCTGTTTAAATTTGCACCCATCCGTAAGATGCCTCTTAAGTTGACTGTGTATCGGACTTGATCGTTTTACTTTTGGAAGATTTATTTTTATTGCTTTAAACCTAGTATATGTATGGAAGAATGGGATGCTTCAAGTAATATGTGGTCTAATTTGAGGTATATATTTCTTAAAAGCTTGGAGGTATTGTTTCTTCATCGCACTTATTAGTATTCTTTTCGTTTTCATTATTTTTGCTGCTTGTAGCTTTCAAGAACCTGTACATCCAGTGTTACAGGTAATATATAACCTTATAAGCTAAAATTTGTTCATCTGTATCAATGTTAAAAGAATACTCGGTTTATCCACATAATCTCCATTTACCAAACTGAAACAGAACATATAATGAAAAGAAAAATAAAAAATATTAATATAAAGAATGAACAAAGATCAGTACTTGGTTATCTTTAAGCAAGAAACAAGTATTATGACTTTACTGAACATCGCTAGGCTATGGATGATGATAAAATTGTGGGAGCCTGAGCCTTTATGAGTTATTCTCACCATGTAATTGGTTGCAAAATTTATGTAATAGTTCCGTAGCATAAATTAGAAATTCATAATGGAAATCGTCCTAGAAATGAGAATACATATAAGGAGCTTGAATTTGGAGCTAAAAGTTTGGTACTTCTTTGGAGGCATTATATAATATTAAACCACTATTAGCCTAAACAAATGTGTCTATCTTAATCTTCTCATCAACTCTTGACCTCATTTTTGAGTGAGGTCTTTCTTTCTATTTCTCTCTCAAGAACTTAGGGTTTAGTCTTGGGATTTTTTGTGATTTTTCCTAGAGGACTAGTGATGGAGCCAATGCTAAACAAGAAATTAAAACATTTCTCGCCTCATTATAGTTTCATATGTTTGACTTTAAATCCTCAACCCTTGGTTGAGTTGATTAAGGTTAAGTCAATGAAGGTTAAGTTGAGTTCCTATAGGTTTAAAATGCCTTAAGCAACCCTTTGATCTTAGAGACTTAGGCCTTTGATTTGGTCTTTATTTGGGACACTTCACTCATCTTCATCATTTTGGATAACTTCTTCAGGTTTTAGAGAGCTCATTTGAAAATGAAGTTCATTTTGAGCTAGGAAAGGGGACTTATCTAATAGTAAAGAGAAGGATGATAAAATCACTAAAATTTTTAATAATAAAACAGAATTTACTAAAAATCTTTAATTCAAATCAAATTGAAATCAAAACCATTGAAATTCTCAAATATCACAATAAAATTTCAAAATTTAAAATAAAATTTCAAAATTAATGAATAAAACTAAAATTTAAAAATTGCAAAAAATATTTCAAAATAAAATAAAATTCAAAATAAAATCATAAAATTACAAAAATAAGAAAATAGAAATAAAAATTTCATAAATAAAATAAATTAATAAAAATTTGTAAAACAATTCAATGATCAATTTTATTAATAAAATTTAATAAACATAAAATAAAAGTTAAAAAAAAAGGTTTTTTCCCAAAATACACCACTTTCATTTTATTTTAAAATTCACTTAAAATCAAGATAAATTATTTAAAAAATCCACTTCACACAAATCATTCCTAATCACCACACATTTTCCCTCAAATTTCAAATAATAATAATTTTCAAAGTAAAATGAAAATTACCAAAAATCTCACTCACTTATACACCCACTCAACTCTTGAACATTCCTAACCAAAAGCACTTCATTTAAACCTTCCCATTGGCCACAATCTTAATTCTCACACCCCATTTCACCAAAATTTTGCCTTAGGACTCCTTAGCCACGCACTTACCAAATCCACTTCAAATCTGAGCCACCTCCCAACCACTTCCAAGTTAACTTCAAGCGACCTTTTTCATTCCATTTGGTTGTTTTTCAAGCCACTCTTTTTGTTGAATTCCTCGAGACCATTTCAAGCCTCCTTTGAAGCCATTTGGAACTTAAACTAAGCCATATTCCAAACCATTTGCAAGCCCTTAAAGCTATTCTAGAACCTTTTTCCAAGAAGCCAATTATTAGCCTAACTTCGTAGGGACATATCCAACACCTATTGGGTGTACTTAAACCACCTTACAACAATTATCTTATTGTCCTAACAACAAGGGAGGGTGAACCAAGCTAGCAAGAACCATCCAATCTTCCATGAGAAGCTTCACCATTCCTAAAGATAACATGGATTGATTTCATTGGTGGCACACCAATATGGACCATCCACTTGGTCAGTTCCCATTGGCCATGGGATGTTGACCTTGCCACCTCAGCAAGGTCAATTATTGGTGCTTTGAGCTCAAGCTAGACCCAAGCCCAAGCCATCCTTTATAAATACCCCTCCTCTTGGGTTCAAATCCAATGCCCTCTATACCCTTGGCGAAGCCTTGACAAAATATCTTTTGAACTTGCTTAGAGCCTTAGAACCTTTTCCAATCATTTCCAAATTTCAAAACATTAAAACCACCATTAAAACCCCTTACCCGACATACGCCCTCAATTCCATTGTAGATCCATCTATTTCACCATTAAAATTTCTTAAAATCTTTCTTTCGCTTGCAAATCGACTTCCCTATTGAATTTCCCAATTTCTAAGCCCTCTAAGCTACTGTTTGATCAAGCTGTGGTCGGATTTGATCAAAATAATACAATGGATCAAGGGATCTTGCAATTGCCCCTTTGAGAACTTGGAATGGATCACAACTATCGTGGTATTAACTGCAGATCAAGAAGACTTAAACAAAATTAAGGTATTCTTCCAGTTTTCTCTTTAACGTATTGAGTTTAGTGATTTGTGAAGCAAATTTAGTTTTCAAGCAATTTTGACCGTTAGATAGGCTCGATTTGCTTAGCTGATGCTTTTGACAATGTTACTTCGTTAATCCATGCGTTAAATCAATACATACGAGTTTATTTCCTTGGAAGACAATTGGTTCCCCAATCCTTTCAGGGTGATGAACCTATGTCTTCCATTTATTTTAAAAGGAAATGGATGAGTAGGATTAAAAGATAGAACACACTTGTGTTTAGAGATCACACCGGATCATGCTTATGGAGGTGTACTCTAATGATTGGTGGGCTAGCGAGAAGAAGACACTTGGAAAGGGATATGATGTGGCGACACACTTTCGGCTGACTGGGTCACCATGTGGCCTGTTGTTTAAACAATTAAATAGAATTTTAAAACATTTAATAAATCAGAGAAAATAACAGAAACATTAAAAGTCAAATAAGTCAATAAAAATCATAAAAAACATGAAATAAGTTTATAGAATCATGGAGAACAAAAGAAAAATAAAATCAAGATTTAATGACATTAAATCATTCCTCACTGAATTAAAACCAATAAGAAACTTAAAATCATAAAAAAGTAAAAAATAAATCAAAATACCTCAAAATTTGAACCAATTAAGGTTCTCGACCCTAGCCCGTTCTTTGATTTTTCCTAGAGTCAGAAAGAATTATTTGATATCCTAATTTGAATTTCATTTGCATTTTGTAATTAATGGATTAAATAAATAAAATACAAATAAGAAAATTACAAGAACTCTATGAAAAATTCAAGAAACATTCGAATGGTCATTCTACACAATAAAACAGTGATGTTATGTGGTCTAATATAATTTCAAGTCATTTTAATTTGGAAGAGTGTATATTTAAGTTCTTTTATTTGCACTTTAATCCTTTACTTCTCAAAAATACTTTAAAACAAAAGATTAATGGAAAAATCTTTAGGATAAGTTTAATTAAACTTCTGTAATAATGCTATACAAATGGATTTTAAATTGGACTAGTGAAATATGAAAAAGGTAAAGATTTGATTATCAAATTGTTGGAAAATTTCAATTCTAAAATAGTTGAAATGATTAATTATTAGAAATTCTTATTGGAATCATTTGAATTAATAAATTGGTTAATTTCTAGACATTTGGTAAAATTTGCAAGTGAAATTTAATGAAATTTGGTTAAAATAGGTAAAAATTGTAAAAAATTACAAATATAACCTAAAGGTTAAATTAAACATGTGTGAGCTTCAAAATCATGAAAATCTGATTGAAAACCTTAAAAAATGCATTAAAAATAAAATTCTAGTAAAAATTTGCCTAAGGGAAAAGTAAGAATAGGTAAGTTTGTAGTTTTTCCCAAAATTATAAATCTTCCCTTCGTAACTTTTAGACCATTTAATTTAAAATTCAAAAATAATAAAATTGCTGAAATTGAAGAATTGAATAACTGGTAATCAATAAGTGAAAATTTCAATGAAGTGCATAATTGGGAAGGTGAAGAAAGGCAATTGTGTAATTTCCCTCAAAATTACATAATTAAACCTTGAAATTGAAGAAATGAACGCAAAAAAATTGGATCTTAAAAGATGGTTAAAGTACTAAACAAAAAAGGTATAGCAAATTTTGATAATTTAAAGTGGTTAAGAGATTATTTATTATTTTGTTTCAAAATTATAATTTATGCCCTAATTACTTTAAAACTCTCAAAATGAGCTTTCCAAAACTATAAATTCTTAAAACTTGATTTGAAATCATTAATCAACATTCAAACAGTAAATAAATCCTAAAAACTTTGATAGTGATTTTGGGTAAATTTGTAAGTTCCCTCAAATTTACAAAAGACCTTCTCACTGTTTGACTTAACAAATAAAGATAAAAAATGATAAATTTTAATCAATTAATCCAAACAACTCATTAATAGGAAAGAAACCATTAAAAATTATTTTGAAATTGAATTGAAGATGTTCACAAATATACCCTTCCTCCTTAAAACTTGAATAACTTTAAGAAGAAAATTTAAAATTAAATAAAGATTTCACCAATAAATCAATTGAACCAAAATGAATTCAGATATACAAAAATCTCTTCAATTTGATCATTTTTAATAATTTGTAATTAATAAATTC